GAAGATCCACCAATTCCCAAGTTTGATTTTTATGAATAGCATTAATCTCCTCCTTCATGACATCTGTCCATTCAGGGCATTTTAAGGCTTCTGCAACATTTCTGGGAACAGGGATGCAATAAACTGCAGATAGAAAGGCTCGGTATGAGGGGGAAATGTGATCATAGGAGACAAACTGGGTAATGGGATGTTTGGTAGTGCATGACCTGACTCCCTTTCTTTGAGCAATAGGAATGTCAAAGTCATCCACAGTAGGAGTAGGGGTATCAATAGGTGCAACAAGGATTGGACTTACCTCCTGGGAGTCTAATGGGGTCGGTTGCTCAATGTTTGGCTGCTCCACATCTCTATTACATTGCAGATCTCTACGACGTGTACGTTGGAAGAAACGAAAGGGAGCAAGGTCCGGAATAGAAGGAAGAGAGACTTGGCTCTCCCCCTGAGGAGAAGCAGGGAAGAATGGCTCAGACTCAAAGAAAGACACATCCATAGACACAAAAAACTTATGAGTAACGGGATCAAAGCACCGATACCCTTTTTGAGAGGAGGGATACCCCAGAAAGATACAAGGAATGGATCGAAGGTCTAACTTACCTCGAGACGGAGACAAATCATGGACAAAGGCACGACAACCAAAAACTCTCATGAGAATGGAAAATAAAGGGGACTGAGGGAACAACTGATGAGAGGCCATGTAGTTTAGCACTTTGGAGGGCATGCGATTGATGACATAAGCAGCTGCAAGTATAGCATCCATCCAAAACCTTTTTGGAACATTCATGTGTAACATCATCCCGCGAGCTACCTCAATGAGGTGTCTGTTTTTTCTTTCTGCAACACCATTTTGTTGTGGTGTTCTAGCGCATGAGTCCCTATGAATAGATCCGTGAGAGGCAAAGAACTCATTGAGCTCACCATGGAAGTATTCTTTTGCATTATCGAATTGGAAGATCTGTATTTCAACATGGAATTGCGTAAATACCATCCTCTGGAAGTCTTTCACAATCTTTGGAACTTCATCTCTAYTACGCATAGGGAATACCCATGTATAGCGAGAGTAGTCATCGATCAATGTGATAAAGTACTTATATCCGCCCTCAAAGATTACAGTAGTAGGCCCCCATACATCAGAATACACAACATGAAAATGAACACTTGATCTTTTATTATTTGAGTGAAAAGTTGTTCTGCATTGTTTGCTCAACTGACACGTTTGACACTGGAACTCTGACACTGAACATGACTTAAATAAAACCGTAAACAAAGACTTTACTATTTCAAAAGAAACATGACCTAACCGACTATGCCACAAAAAAATTTGGCTCTTATTTGACTGACTATGTGACTCTGAGGATAACACCGAGAGACCAGCTTTGTTGTCGAGAATGTAGAGGCCATCCATTAGGATCCCTCTACCAATCGTCCTCCCAGAAGTTAGGTCCTGAAAAACACATGAACGAGGAAAAAAGGTTACACTACAGTTTAAAGAGCTTGTGATACTACTAATTGAAAGCAAATTTATAGAAAGTTGAGGGACATGCAATACACAATTCAGGTTAAGGCCATGGGGAAGAGATATTGATCATTGGCCTGCAATGGAGGAGAATGAGCCATCTACAAGCCTCACTTTATCCCTTCCTRACAAAAGGCTATAAGTCTGAAATAAGTTCGGCTTACCGGTCATGTGGTTAGAGGCCCCTGAGTCAATGATCCAAGGGAAAACCAGTGGGAGTGACATGGAATGCAGAAGTCGTATTACCTGATATAGATGCAAATGAAGTAGGAGTACCAGTGACTGAGCAATCCATCTGTCTCAAAGCCCTACCATATGACTCCAAGTGGTCTCTGAAGGAATTCATTATATCTTCCTTAGGGTCAGAATTATTAAGGTGGTCTCGGGTAGTACCGGCAACCTGAGTATCTTGGGTTGCCACATGTGCTGCATTATGTGTTGTGTTCATCTTCTTCTAACCTTGCCCTTTACCCTGTTCTTGGTTCTTCACTGC